CACACATTCCTTAGCAGGAATGGTTCTGAGCAATGTATCCTTTGAGGGACTTGTTTTCACTTTGAGGACAGAGTAGCTTGGAACTGCAAAAAATCTGGAAAATGTGGTCGTTTCACAGTTTTAAGACTTTTATGCTTTCCATAAACAACTGACCGAAATAATTTAGTCTCTTTTTGTCTCTCTTCCTCACGTACTGCGTTGGCATTAACATCTCTGAAACGGGGAACTTGAAACTTCCCTCTGGTGATGTTACGATTCCAGTTGCATCTCAGTTATACAACATAAATGCCTGAAAATATGAATCTCAAATCTTTCTTCCTTGGGCAAACTTGAGAACAACAGCAGTGAACAATTAGCAATTCTGGATTACAAAATTTCAGATACTTCAAACTGTCCTACTTTTTAACTCTCTCTTTGTCAAAACACTAGCATGTATACCAGCATGCAAGTTAAATTCATTATTTAAAAAAAAAATATACAATTTTCTTTACTGCTTCTGTGTAAAAAGGACTTCAGCATTATCTGACACACTGTTGTATTCTTGACTATTATACACTCTGAAAGAGCTCCAAGACTCTGCTTTGCAACTTGTAGCATGTGCTGGCTCGTTCTGGATGTCAGAATAAACAACTCAAGGTATAGCTTGGGTTTCTTGATAGCTTTGAACTATCCATAACTATCTTTTGGATTTTCAGCAAACCATATACGTTCTCTAAAGTCTCTGACAACTTCTTTCTGTAATCTCTCTTTCTTTCAGAAATATTCTTTTATATTTTCACTCTCCTTTAGTACTCTGATATATTGTTTTATAACTCCGGGGGCTGGATGCTACACTCTTCAATGCTCAGCTAGGAGCAAAAGCAGAAGTAGTTCAAAACAGCCACATTCAAAGCAGAGTAACCTTTTTGAAGCCCTTCTAGTACTCTGATTGCAGACAAAGAATAAACCATGGTTTGAATCTGCCCAACTGCTTTCACCTTTATCAGAGTTTCAATTTCCTCCACGCCTTTGAAGGAGATAGAGCCTCAAAGGAACCACAAGATAACGGTAGCAGTCAATATGGTAGCTACAATTTATAGAATATGAGGTGCACAATCACCACAAATATTGTTGTAAATATCCTCTGAGAATAGAATGTAATGGCAAGATTCACAAAAACAGTTTAGTCTGGGATGCTCAGCCAGGGTGAGATGAGAGAAAGGTGCCAATGGGGTGTTATGAATAAGATTTTTTTTTTTTTAAACGTGTAAATATAAGCTTAGACTTTCAGAAAAAGAACAATTTTCATTGTACCATGCCTAGATCTCAAGTATAACTATATCTGACAACTGAACAGATAGCATCAGTGTCAAAGGCTATATATATAAGGCCAAAGTCCTGAATTTGCCTCCTAAAATGAGTAGTCATTTTGGAAAATGCTGGCTCAGCTAAGAATGGAAATTTGCATTGTTCTTTCTTACTCCAATTATCCCCCTGCTATAAGTGAAGGCGACTTTTAAATACTCCTTTTGTCTAGAAAAAAATCACCTGCTTAGCAAGTGGCAAAGGCTGAGCATTCTGAGAATCCAAACAGCCAGTATGAACCAGAGCTAGATCTCCAGTTCACAGAAGTCCTTCTCTCGGCCCTGTAGCTGCCTGGTGATGTTTAACAAACACTTAATGAGGTATTTCCTTTCTGGGTACCAGCAAGTCATGCAAGTGGATACTCAGCAGCTTCTGAAAGGTTCTCCTTTATCTGAAATGGACTGACAGCTTCCTGTCCGTCACAGTTATTTTATTTTGTGACAAAGCCATATATCTTTGCCTGATCACATCTGAGTTTGAACACGGCAAGCAAGGAAATGTTAACAACTCTTTTCTCTTCAAAACATGCCATCGGTCTATGAGCATTACTAAACCAAGCAAAAGACCCCCACCCCAAACCCTGAATGTTTTAGAGGCTACTAAACAAAACACACCAACTACTGAAACAGTCTAAAAAGAAAGAGCATCTTTTTTTCTTGATGAGCCAGAAACCAGTGTAATCTGTCTGGTAGATATACAAAAAGCTTATCTAGTTCATTTCATGTTCATCTAAAGCTGATCTACATAATTATTTCTTCCATTAAACAGCCCACTGCTGCTTTTTTTTTTTTTTTCTGGTTGGAAAAAGTATCAGTGTTACAGGAGAGAGGTTTTCTGCTCAGAGGACCTGGGATTAGAAGAACAATCATTTTTATATTGGAGATCTGTGTTTGGAGGCAGATTACTTCTGAGCGTGGAGAAAATTTTTATGCTGACATGCATCTGTGTTATGAAATAATTCCAAACTCTGGGATGGTAGCAGATGTTATAGTCCACAGAATCAAAATGTTGGTTTTGGATTAAAAAAAAAAAAATCAAAAAAATCTTCCAGTGTTATTAGAAAACAGAAGAAAGCACGCAGGATAATAGGTTAATTCAATGGCATTGTCTGCAGTAAAGCTGACGGTTCGGGCACAATCTCCATTGCTCACTTGAAGTAGGCCATTTTGCGGGGCAGAGGAGGATTTGATATTTTCTTTTATATTACTGTGTCAAATTGGATTAAAACGGAATAAAATGGAGAATGTACAATAAAGGCCTTCGGGACTGCTGGTTATGCAGCGTAGTAAGATGCACGAGGAATTAAAATGAAAGTACTCTTCAGAAGTAAGACAAACTTGTCATGTGTAGTTGTGTGGACCTTTCCTGCTTCTAGTTTCCTTGCTCGATCCCTCCTGTGCTGCACTCTCTGATCTGCACCGAGTGCTTTTTTCCTTCAGTAAGTTCTCCCAGCATTTGTCTTTTAATTATTATTATTTGGACATTAACAGGACATTCAAAGATAAAATGACTGAAAACCTGCTGCAGTTCATAGAGTTTCTGCAACCATGAAGTGACCAACAGTGCTCAAAACTTTGCTAAAAGTTGTGTTTGATGGCCTGGTTGGGAGCGCGGGCGCAGGGGTGTTCACTTCAGTAGCTTCACCCGGTAGCCCGTTAGGATTCAGCTTCTGCTGTCAGTCTGCAAGATCTCTAAACCACACAGACCAGCAAATGGGCTGAAGTTTGGTTTCTTAAATGATGCTTGGAGGGTTTCTCGTAACTTTCTGGAGTATGCGCCAACCTTTGAAATTTTGGAAATACTGATTAGTAAGCTGAGTTACTCCACACTCTCATTTATCTGATACTCTTATCTCAGGACTCACATTAGCCAAAACTGGATTGTGCCTTCTATGTACTGAGTCATTTGCTTTGAAAAGATTTCTGTTAGCTGAAAACCTAGTGACAAGTCTAGATGGCAGGTCATGTGCTCTGTTTGGATAAACAGGGTTACGCTTCACACAGGTATTAGTACAAATTAATAAATGACTCATGTTACAGTCTGGAAATTAATTTCAGCGATTACAGAAAATCTGAATACAAACTAAATGCCACATCGCTTTTGAAGTTTGGAAGGGGAAGTGATTAAAAAGAATGTACCAGAGCCAATCTTTCGCTTAAATTAAAGCATGGAGAAAGGACTAGTACATACCCAGTGTGCATGTGCGTTCAACTTTCAGTTGATTCTAAAACTGAAAAGTTGAGCTTGGGATGCTTAATGCTGTACGAAGACAGGCTTTCACGTGGAATCACTGTCATCTGCTCTGTCAGATTCTCACTTTTCCCTTGCGGTTGAAGAGCAGTAACTTATCACAGAGAAGCCAGGTTCATCCTTCTCTGACACTGAGTGTCCATGCCCCTGCCTGCACCTTGAGGGAGGGAACTGCTAGTGCTGCCGCTGCAGCTCCAGCACGTTCCACACACCAGTATGCAGCGCTGACTTGGAACGCTGAGAAATCACCTTAAAACAAGGAGAGTATCAATTTGAAAAAAAAAAAAAAAAAAAAAAATTCCCCCCCCCAAAAAAATGGATTTAATCAATTTGGTCTGTAACGTGGGCATGCTGCCTGACCACAGCGGGATAAGGTGAGAGTCTGAATGCAGATATTTGTCTCAAAACGTCCTTTACTTCTCAACAGCTGCTCACGCTCAGCATATGCTTAAATACTTTCCTGAACTGAGATCTAACGAACTTGCACTTTGATCTTACTGTTAATGATGTTTGGTCTGTTTGACTCTAAAATATGCATTCCATCTGAGCATGGTTTGACACAGCAAATGAAATATTTACTGACTCTTGGCACCGTCACCTTTGTGGATTTCTGTAGTGTATCATTCTCATTGAAGGTCTGTTCTCCGCGGGACGTGCGTGATTCATGCCTAATAGCATTACGAGGACGTTAGTTCATGCTTTGAGAAGAAAGTTCTTTCTTTTCTAAAAGTAATTTTTGTGGCGTTGTACCTAATCACTAATTGGATTCCTGCATAGAATTTCATACCAGACACTTGGGGATAATGGAGATACAGACTTGTAAGTTTTCCATTTCCCTATGTAACGAAGTGATGCCAAACAAAGAGTTAAAACGATTAAGCATGTTTCATTGCTTTTATGGAACAGCACTGCCCAAATTCTGTCTGCCTGGATTAATTATATATGTGGTGTTATCTCACTGTATGAGAATACAGTCTTTCGAAGGACTGAAGATCACTATATAGGAAATCTTGAATCTGCAGTTCTGGCTGATTAGTATGCGGTAATTTACGTAGCAGATCATGCAAAAACACAGAAAGACAGGCAAAATAAGAAAAGTAGTATTTCCTTAAGTAAATTTTAGATTAAGCAAGATTAAGAGAAAAACATTCTCCAGCTTTTCTACCCTACCAGCAGGGCAACGACTAAACCCACTATCTCCTACGTAAGACATTCTTTAATTTATCCAAAGAACAAGAAATTAGGACTGAAAACGTACTGTCAATTTCCTTGGATTAAGGTCAAATCTTGAGAAAGAAAGAGAATATTTTCCTTCATAAATTTGTCAGTCAATTTCAGTTATAATCAGATTAAGGAAATAAAATCTGAATCAAACAAAATTCAGAAAGAAAAATCAGAATACTTACATTGGTGACATATTCAATATCCTTCCAAATATTACATTCCCTGGGAAAATCTGCCAAATCTAAAAAATTATCCACTATCACTTGGCCAATCAAGTCATGCCTGGAGAATCTGTCAAAGTCATACACAGAGAAATGGAGTTTCCTTGTGTTCAGATCATTGTATGGGACAGTAAATAAAAAAACTTCATCAAATACTGGGTTTAGGGTTTTTCTGTGCACTTTAGTCTGGTGTTTTGTTTTCCTGTCGGGGAGTAGATATATCTTCACGTAAGGATCTGAAGTTCCAGAGAAGTCCTTTGCTGGCAGGTTGATGGCCTTGTGTATCTTCACTATCAGCTGTTCTAAATCACAATCATATTTGAGAATAAAGTTCAGTTTTCCACATGCCTTGCTATTACTCCTCCGGCCATCGTCTGTGTCCACTGATCTTTGTTTATACAGCTCTGGCTTGATGCGGCCAATCCCCGTCAGTTGCTCCTGTTTCTGAACCTGCTGGATGTTGAAGTCAGGGTTGGAGAGGTTGAGCTGTCTTCGTATTGAATTATGCCTTAAGTCAAAACAAAAGAATTGAAACAAACGGTGTTGAAGACGATAAGAATCTGGTCACACACGCTAAAGATTCCGTTCTCATTTGACTGATTTTTGTAGTGTAAAACGGGGTCAGGCTTCTACTCGTGTAAAGTGATAAAGCAGATACCCAGCAGCTTTAAGAGCTCACCTTAAGCATTAGGCTGCTACTATCACATCATTTCCTGTTCCTATGTCCCAAGCTGGTGGTGTGCGCACTCAAAACCTGGCTGAAGAAATGCAAATTCATGGCCATTGCAAATCCAAAGGGTCTGCCTTATTAGCAAGCACCATGTGATATGGTAAGAACTGTAGCTGTTCTTACCAGTTACCATTTTCAGCTGAATCCTTTGGATTTCAGCCTAGGAAATGATATTGTGTAAATAGCAGCAGGATCTGGCCTATTATGCCAGCTGAGCTTGCTGGTTGATGGTTCTAAGGTAAAGCTGGACAAAGGAGGGTACTTACTGACATCTCTGCGTTTTACAACTACTTCATTTACAAGTCAGCTGTTCTGATCTGAAATGGTCTGTTGACCACCCCAGCAATTACGGTTTTCTCTCGTACCCGATGCAATAAACTCTGTTTACTTTGCCTGAAAAGCTCCTTTAGTTTCATTAATCCAAGGGAAGAGAGTTGCTTTTAGCTTTGGCCCACTGATATTTATTACCTGGAGTCACTCAGTTATTGTGATTGAAATTTCCATTTCACGAGATGGTAACGGAAATCAAATTTGCAAAACCTGTCGGGATAGTGGGATGTGAAAGTTGGATTAGGTAAAATCCTAACCTTGTGTGACTTGGATTCCACTTTTTTGTCCTGTTCACATACAGCAATCATTCAGTGTATTGGAGTGCCGTGAGCTGTACTTATATACTCTTATATACTATCCTTTTTTTCTCTCTTGTTGCATAACAAATATATAATTTTAAAGGTATACTTTAGTCATTTCCATGATAAAATATTCTGTCACAAAAAATTTTTATTGTTCAGCCCTTAAGCTCCTTATCACAGTGAGAGGTGCAGAATATCCTGGGGAGGAATAAAAAGGCGGGCGCTGGGGAGTCAGCTTGTCAGGGGTTGTAGCGGGGCGGGTGCCGGGTCTCTGTGGCCACAGAGGAAAGCCAGAGCTGGCCACCCCGTCATGGCAAGCAAGCACCAGAGACAAAGTGAACAAAGGATGCAGTGCAAGGAAGATGGGCCCCTCCTGCTCAATGCAAGAGTCCTCTGGAGAAGATGCAGGCGGAAGGCAATGCAAGAGAGGAGTACGGAGCAAAGGCTCTGTCACCCATGGCACAGGGGAGGGACCTGGGCAGGTCCTGCCCTCACGGACAGAGCCAGTGTTACACTTGCTGAAGGGAGCCGGACTGGGACAGCTGCCAGAGCACTCGGGATGCTGAGGCGAATATTTTTTAGCCATTGGGATTGCTGCTGCTGCTTGTGAGATGACTGTGCTGCGGTGATACCGTGCAGTTGTCGTTTGATTATCAGAACTGCTGCCCTCTTGCAGCAGAGAAAGCCCGTATGTGACTCAATACTTTCACAGTATTGAAGACACGTGAGAGCTGTCAGATATGAATCTTCTGTTGCTAATCTCACGACACGCCTATTTCCCAGCAGTCTGAAAGCACAGCAGCACCAGCCCTGCGCTCTATTCCGGGCTATCAGTCCTTACTCGGAATTCTACCTGGCACGTGGTAGGGTGCAAGCTTCAGTATCTATAATCATGGCTTTGACCTCCCCGTAGATTCCTGCAATATAAAACCAGTCTCATCCTGATCCAAGGAGGAAGGGCACCTGGAGCTTATGCTGCATAGTGCTCATGATATACTGAGGACTTCTCTTAATTCTTTCCGAGATGTTTTGGACAACTGACAGTTACTGACCTGGCTGCTAGCTGCTGTCATCTTACCCACGTGCAGGTGTGCCTGAAGCCAAGAGGCTTGGCTTCCCTTGCTCTCCCAGATGGTCAGAAGTGAGGCTAGTGAAGAGCAATCGGACCAGTGCTGAACCTTCTGCAGCTGAAGTGCTTCTGCTTTGACTCAGAAATTTACTGGCTCTTCACGTGCGGATCCTTTTATCACCCATCCCTGCGCACTCTCACACTCCCTCTCTCCTCTTCCCTCCTGTACTGATTCTCCAGTTCCCCTGCAGACCTCACTGACTCTTGTTCAATCACTTCTCCCCTCACAGTCATGACCGTGGCTAAAATCTATGATTTTTTTTAAATCCTATTTCTAACTCTTGCAAGTGTTTCATTAGCTTGCCCTACTTTTCTTCTTTGGCTGTTTTAAAAATTTTTGAGGAGATATTACTGAGTGTTCAGCATCAGTGCTAAGTACAAATGGATATGCTTTACAAGCTAAATCCAGGCTGTTCTGGTGCTTTAAGCGACACAGAGTGCTCTGCCTTGTCCAGCTTCTGAGGGAGAGGCACAAATGAGACAGTACGAGTGTAAGAGCATTGCGATCCTTTTAACCAAAGAGGTTTGTGCACCTCAAAGAATAACTTCTGTGTGATTTTATTTTTTTTTAAAAAAAAGAATGTGGCAAGTAAATTATGCATTTTTAATAGATCAGTGTACTGGATAATCAAGCTGTGCTCTTTTGACTGTATCTGTATTCATTAATATCAGAGAGAAATTGGAGTTACTGACCGAGCAGAAGAAGTTGGTTCAGTGATCTGACGATGCATTCGCACATTGTGTACGCAGTTCTCCTTCGTTCCCGCCTGAGCATCTAATGGAATATCAGGGGAGGTGTGGCTGATCTTCATGGAGGACTCTGGATAGGCTGTAGGCTGACCCAGATAATCCTCACTGTAGTCATGGTCATTGGTCTCTGTATCTGTGTAGTTCAGTGATTCTTGTTTGTTATCTTTGCTCCCAAATGGCAGACCACGCTCTCGCCAAGGGATCCAACAAAGCTTCCAGGATACGAACAGAGAGACACCAAACAGAGCAAGACCACAGGCTGTGACAACTAAGGACAGCAAGCTTATGGAGATATCTGCAAACAAGACAAAAACACGCAGGTCACATCTCTGTGCTCCTTGGAGCTCTGCACCTCCAGGGCATGAAGTATGGGAAGTAGATACCTCTGCATCGAGAGCTACAAAAATTAAATTCTGGAGCCAGAACAACTACATATAATGACAACACACGTGACTGACACCTGTCATGTAAAGAAAACATATTATTTCCCCCCCCCCCCCC